CAAGTTTGAATACAGCCAGGGCAATTTGGTGAGACCTTGTCCCCCCCAAAAAAAGTAAACTGGGCGAGGTGAGGTAGCACATACTTGTAATCCCAGTATTTGGGAGGCTGAATCAGAAAGATCGCTGAGAGTGTAAGGCCAGTCTGGGCCACATAATGAGTTAAAAGTCAGCCTGAACTACTTATCAAGGCTCTGTCTCAGAAATAAAACAAAACAAAACAAAACCATAGGGCTGGAGATGTAGCTTACAACTAACAGTTGTATAAATAAGCTTAGCACTGTTATAGTTCAACAGTATGATCAGATTATATAGATAATAATATTGAATTTTGTTTGTTTGTTTGTTTGTTTTTTCCGGTACAGGGAATCAAACTCATAACCTTGCATTTGCCAGGCAAGTGCTGTGCTGCTGAGCTAAATCCCTAGCCCCTTTGAATTTATTTTTAATACGTTATTTAATGTTGAATTATATTGACAAAAATTGTCAAATTAATTTAAAATATTAAGGATGAAGAATATTCTTGTCATCTTCTGTATTTTTTCTTTCTTTCTTTATTTTTTTTTGCAGTACTGGGGATCAAACTCATGACCTTGCACTTGCCAGGCAGGTGCTTATGCCACTCAACTATATCCCCAGCCCTACCATCTTCTGTTTTAATAAGAATTTATCTAGTATTTGGTTTTAAATAGATATGGATTTCACTAGCATTTGTATGCAAATTTAATTTAATTTTATTTAATTCTAAAATATGTGAATTGTACATTATCTTTTTTATGGAAATAAAACTGCAGATTAAACAAAATGTGAATTACAGAAGCAGGACTAAAACCTAGAATTCTTACCTCTCAGTTCAATATTTTTCTGTGACAGCATGAAATTTAGGATTGTAACACAAATCGGATCAGGAAATGGAGGCAGATATAATCTAGCACTGTTGAACTCCTATCATGTTCCAGGTAATCTACATACAGTGTACTATGACATATATTCCTCTCAGTGACCCTGTAAGGTATATTAATCTTAGTTTATGAGTTAGGAATTGAAAATTCAAAGAATTTAAAGAGATTCCCCAAGATGACGTTACTGAGTTAGGATATAAACCCAGACTGGTCTGGTCCAAAGCCCATGGCTTCCCTTAGAACAAAAGTATGGTAGGAGAGAAAGAAATGAAGACTTCCAATGAGTAGGAAGGCAAGTAGAGAAGCTATGAAGTTGTAGGGGCATTGTGAAACTCTTTCTTTTATGTAAATCCCCTGATAAGCCTCTATCCTAAGTTTCCCTTTCCCTGTCTTCCAAACCCAGTCTCCTCTTTCCAGTCTTATGTTTTTTCGTCTCTTGGGTTCCTGCCTCAGAGCCATCCCAAAGCCATCCTCAGAGGGAGGAGGAGAAAATAAGGACTAAAGGAGGAGGTACAAGATAAAGGCATTTCTTCTGGCTTGACAGAGTTTTCCATGGAAGCAAGAGAAGGTGAAATTTTCATATCGTTTCTTTGTCCAATTATCTTTTATACACACTCCCTAAGTCCTCTTCTAACCAACCTAACCAACTCAGGAGAAACCTGATGAGTCCATGAAATCTGAAAAAGAAAGTGAGTAGATGTTATATTATCTGCTGATTCCTCTTCAGGTTATCAATTCTCCAATGTGTTCTTTATTTCTGTCCCATACATTCATCTTCCTAGTCCTCTCTACACCTAATAAAACCTCAATACTGTCCACATTTGGTCCATTCTGTCAATACTAAAACCGATACCACTATCTTTATCTTTTTCACACTCATACCTGGCCCTTTATTCATACTCTGTCGCCCACCCTACATTCCTTATGATCTTCCATTCCTAATCCATCCTTTCCGTATACTAGTTATTTTTATCTAATATTCTCTCAGTGAATATATTGTCTATACAGCAAATTCATCCTACTCAAATATCATATTTTTATACAAAGGTCCAATCCTTCTGCATTTAGTCACACTTCCTCATGCTTCCTGTACTCCTTGCAGATCTACAATCCATGAATGTTTCCAAGTCTGCCAAATTTTCTGCCAATTCTATTTATATTCTCCATTGGTAATCATTTCCCCCCAAATCCTTTTTCACATTCTGCCTTCACTACATTCCATTCCTATCACCTACAACTTATTCTTTCTTCCCATGTCATGCCTTCCTTCATTTTCATCCACCATGCATCCATCTAGATATTATAACTTTGCTAATCAGTAATGAACACAGTTCTTTTAAAAGTAAGTTAAGGAGAATGAGTGAAAGAGAAGCCAGTGAATAATTTTTGTATGCAGAATATGGGTCTTTTTGGAGGAGTGATAAGTAGGACTGAAACATGAAAGATAAATAAGAATTTCTGGAATCCAGGTGGGCACTTAGATAGACAGAAGTGTATGTGCTGAGTCACAGAGTGAGAGATCATAGCATGTTTTAAAAAAGGACAGTGGAAATCACTAGATCCTTGTGGAAGAGTTAAAGGAAACACACTTTGATACTGGAGGAATTTGCAGGTGTTCTGCAAAAGTGAATACTCTTGTGGTCAATAATTCTACATAAATATCACTCTAGACATAAGTGGAGGCTAAGCTGATGAGAATTTAGAGTAAAGTAAGTGAGACTATGTAAGAAGGTATTGAAATAACTAAATCAAGAAATATCAAGCACATGGTATAAGGGACTAGGGGGGAAGCAGTAGAAGTAGGACAGGAGAAAGGGACAGATATGAGAGGTAACTAAAGAAACAGTTTAGATAGGGTTTGGAATGTCTTGGATGAGATATATGGTGGGAGGTGGATGAGTGTAAAAGATCTAGGTAACTTCCAAATCTATGGAATGGGAAATAAACCAATTTACTATAATAGGGAGAATAATAGGCTTTGAAATTATTTTCTAGATTTATTGTATTTGGGAAACTCATGTAGTATTCAGGACTTATATTTACTGCTCGTTCATTCCACTTCACCTACATAACACTTCATTCATAGTTATAGAAGCAATTGTAGCAGTGATAGAGCAGGTAACATGGTATATAGGCTTTACCAACTTCAGTGGGTGCAGCAATGAGAGGAACTTCATCAAATCTGCAAAGGGGAAAAGACGGGAAGCAAGGTAATTGATGTTTGTGTGAAGACATGGTATCTAAGCCAAAACTTGAAGGCTAAATAGGAGCCAGACATATTCATGGAGATTGCAGCATAAACAGAGCTGTGAGATGATACACATGTGTGTTCAGAGGTTTGGGGTCTAAAATACAAGTGTAGACTGTTGCAGCAGGTAAACTTTTGGTGCAAATGGTGGCAGATCATGAATTACCTATAGGCTTTGTTAAATAGTTTGAATATTTTGTATGGGCAATGGAGCATTATGAATAGGTTTTAAATAGAGGAGAAAAATGGTTGTATTTGAGCATTTGGGGAGGGACTATTTATTGTATTGATATCGGTTAGGAGTTCAGATGTGGAAGGCTAATATTTTTAACATTTGCAGAGCATCAGGTATGGGGGTAGAGAGGATCAAAGGGTAAACGTGAAGTTCTGAACACAAATGGACAAAAAGCACAATGGATGGCACATCAGGCAGGAATTAAGGAGAAAGTTTGAAGGTTGAGGTCCTGAAGGAAAATTGTAAGTTTGAGGTTCTCACTTATGAAGCTGTGTATTGTGGAAATAGAAGTTTAAACTTTCAGGTGTGAGAAGAAGAGATTATCTCCCTACCACTAGATAATGAACTCTTTAAAGACTACTATTAACCTTCTTTTTGTACTATAACTCTTTGTCTATGGTCTAAATCATGGCTTTTCTACCACAAAATTCTAAACAAGTAATGTTCAATCCTCTTAGCCTCCACCCTATTTCCCAGTGCTATGACTATACAGGTGGAATTAACCCTTTACTTATGTCAACTACTGTGTGGAAATGCCAACCTCTAACCCATATTAGATCTAGAAAAGGTTTTAAATATTGCAAGGGAAAATTTTATCTCTGATATCAAGATAAAAAGGGTGTTCCATTAAATGGATGTTTTTAGATTAGTCTTCATGATAAAGAAAGGTGCTCTACTCTCATTCTTGGAGTTAGAACAATTTCAGAACCAATTGGATTCTTAGCCTTTCTGTCACCCAGCATTCACTGCCTAATTGGATTTTCAGGTCGATCCCAGATTCTCTTTTAAAGTACTGAGGTTTTGGAGTTTTCATGCTATAGTTAATATGACCTTCAGTGTTCTGTTGTGGAAGTATCATGAATGTAAATGAATGCATCATGAGTGTAAATCCAAGACATATCTTACAGTCCATCCTTGGTATCACCTGAATTTTTTTGAACCTCTGAAGTTCTGACATCCTAATTCTACTTCTTACAATCTATTTGATATCATATGAATCACTTAACTTCTCTATACCTCAATTTTTCCTTAGGTGTTAAGTGAGGCTGCTACCAGTACTAAATCATGGTTGTTACTGAAGATCAAGTGAATTAATACTGCAAACATTTTAGAACAGTGTGTGAAATAACAATGCCTAGTAGTCCTGTTATATACATGGTTGTCTCTCCATTGTGTAACTTATTTTCTCAAAACAGAGTCATGATCCAGCTCATGAACAACTCTTACTTCAGGAAGGACCAGATTATCAATATATATATTTGCTTTCTGCATATAAAAATTTATTACCGCTGTGTTTTCACCATCAAAATTAATGATCGTTTCCTTCTTGCCTTCATATAGGGCCAAGAAAAAGACATTTGGACCAACTAGTGTCACTTTTCCTAGTGTCTCTTAATAAGTGCTTTCCAAAGGGCAAGAAAAGGGTCTTATTTCCAAGGAAAAGACATCTATTTTTGTCCGTGTTTGGCTTAGCGAATTTCTCAGCTCAATGATTAATTACATTCATTAAATATATTGCATCCTATCAGCACACATCCCCAAGAAGTTAGGTTCTCGCTACCGCCTCCTAAAACGTCCGTCATCATCTCCTGAAGAGCAGTGGACAAGATTGACACCATGGAGCGGAGGAACCACAGTGGCAGAGTGAGTGAGTTTGTGTTGCTGGGGTTTCCAGCTCCTATGCCACTGCGGGCACTACTGTTTTCCCTCTCTCTGCTGGCCTATGTATTGGTGCTGACTGAAAATGGACTCATCATTATGGCAATCAGGAACCACCCCGCCCTCCACAAACCCATGTATTTCTTTCTGGCTAATATGTCCTTCTTGGAGATCTGGTATGTCACTGTCACTATTCCCAAAATGCTTGCTGGCTTCATTGCATCCAAAAAGAATCATGGACAGCTAATCTCCTTTGAGGGCTGCATGACACAGCTCTACTTTTTCTTGGGCTTGGGCTGCACTGAGTGTGTTCTTCTTGCTGTTATGGCCTACGATCGTTATGTGGCCATCTGTCACCCTCTCCACTACCCTGTCATTGTCAGTGGTCGGCTGTGTGTGCAGCTGGCAGCTGGCTCCTGGGCTGGAGGCTTTGGAATCTCCATGGTTAAAGTTTTTCTCATTTCTCGCCTCTCTTACTGTGGCCCCAACATCATCAACCACTTTTTCTGTGATGTCTCCCCATTGCTCAACCTCTCGTGCACTGACATGTCCATAGCAGAGCTCACTGACTTCATCCTGGCCATTTTTATCCTGCTGGGGCCCCTCTCTGTCACTGGGGCTTCCTACATGGCCATTACTGGTGCTGTCACGCGCATCCCTTCAGCTGCTGGACGCCACAAAGCTTTTTCTACCTGTGCCTCTCACCTCACTGTTGTGGTCATCTTCTACGCAGCCAGTATCTTTATCTATGCCCGGCCTAAGGCACTGTCAGCTTTTGACACCAACAAGCTGGTCTCTGTACTCTATGCTGTCATCGTACCATTGCTCAATCCCATTATTTACTGCTTGCGTAACCAAGAGGTCAAAAGAGCCCTACGCCGTACTCTGCACCTTTACCAGGGCCAGGATGCTAACTTCAATAAATCAGATAGAGACAGGTAGAAAGGCGTGAGGTTTAATAGAATGCTATTATATTTGAGATTGATGTCTTCTATGAAGTCAATGAAGTTCTTGGGGCCTAAATTAGGTGCTAAAGTTTCAAAGGCATCACCAAAGAACTGGAAATATATTTCCTATAATTAGTCTGTAAAGAAGAAGAGGGATGCATTTCAAGTTAGAAGTTGGACTTCTGCAGAACAGGGCCATAAAATACAGGACAGAGGCTGGTCCAGTATTGTTTGCACTATTATGATTTACATAGACCCAGTTCCATTCCAGAAAGCACAGGCTTCTTTGACAAAAAGTGACTGGAAACTTCTTGATGAGATGTCTTCTAGACTCAGGCAGTTGACTATAGCCTACACATTAACAGATACCCAGGAGGTGATCATTCTAATCTGTTACAAAACAATAAGGTAAGAAATAAGAATTTTTTTGTTTTGGCAATTTATTGCCTCTTGGACAACAAAGGTTTCTAGCTTCATTCCTCTTTTTATGGAGGTGAGTGTCCACATTAAATTAGTGACTGAGTGCAGTTGTTTATTTAATCTTGTATCTCCTTAATTATAACTATACAGGTCATAGAGGCACAATCACATTTGCTTACACATCATTTATTATCATGGCATAGAATAGTATCTAGCACATGACGGCTATGAGGAAATGTAATTAATGAGTGTAGTGTGCAGCCACCTAGGCAAGGCCTATGCGTGCCACCTACAGATAGGCTTGGCATATGCGTGCACCAAACCCCTCTCACTTACAAGTACATGGGAGGTACAAATTGGCTTGGTCTTGCTAGAAGAAAATTGGGCAATATGTATCTCAAATCCTAGAAATACTGAGATAATCCTGATTTACAAATTTGTGTAAATATATATTTTTGTGTATAATGGCAAAAACATGGAATATGCTTCACTTTCAGACATTAAGAAAATTATAGCCCTTACATGAAGTGGAATATTATGAAGGCATTAAAGTAATATGATCTAAATAGGGTTAATGATAGAAAAATATTCCTGAGTATAATAAATGAAAATATTAGATTACGTAACTGTGTCAAAAAACATTTATTTCTTTGTCTGCTTAAGAATGAATGGAGAGGGCTGGGGATTTAGCTCAGCGGCAAAAGCGCCTTCCTGGCAAG